GGGGGGGGGGGGATGGGAAGTGGCCGTTTGCACAGGTGACTGTCTTATACAAATGGTTGTGGAGTCAGAGCAAGTCCGACTGAATACCAAATAATTATACGTGAGGCACTATGGTGAAATCAGGTGCTCGATAAAAAATAACGAAATTGGAGAAACAGGCATTCTTCTGCCAAGTTTGGAAATTTTTATCAAATTCTTATTTTTTGGCTTAACCTCTTTTTGGTCCATATAAAAACATTCTCGTGTGAATTTTACTGAAAAGCATTGATTAAAGGCACAAAGTATGTCATTTTTCAGTTTTCAAAGACTCTATAGCTATTGGAGTAACCAAACTTTGGCGGCATTTTCTCACTAATTTCACCACTGAAATCAGGCTACCTCACTTCCTTCAATCGCAGATATCTTGAATTCTATTTCAGATAAATGGATATTTATTTCATTGGAAGCAAGGCAAGTAAATCAGCTTTCAGATGATACCAATAACTCCACATGCCCCCAAATTGATGAGCGCCCGATTCCACCGTGACGTGACACATATATTTGTACTTAGAGCACACAAATCTTAGCCAAAATGACCTAACACCCTTCCTCCATATCATTGAATTAACAAATAAATAAATAAAAATGTTTAAAAATAAAAAAATCATTTAAACAAATTTTTAAACTACCCCCCCCCCCCCTCTTCCAGGAATTGATCTCGCAGTGGCAAAAAAAAATAAAGAGCTTAACGAGCTTAACGGCTACTACACATCCGGTCAATTTCAGACTCAACTCAGGTCAGGACTTACAATTTTGCGGTCCATCTTGGACTTGATGTCCCGGGCGAGCGTGAAGAAGGCGTCCTCCACGTTGATGCTGGCCTTGGCGCTGGTCTCCATGAACTTGATGCCGTGCTCGATGGCCAGCTGGGACGAGGGAGAGAGAGAAAATACAACTGTGGTAAAACCATCTATTAGTGGAGTGGACAGGGACATTCTTTCGGTTTTAGTTAAGAGTTTTACGGCACTTGCAACACAATAAGGTCATATAAGTGCCGAAGGTTAGAAGTGTTACAAGAGAGTAACAAACACAAAAAAGGAGGAGAGATAAGGACGATAGATGTCTTGACATGAAAGAAGGAGCAAAGCACACCAGAGCATCCGCCAACCACATCCTTCGTTCAAACTCAGGCCCTGAAAAGTAGAGGCACCTGACGACGCTCTCTGTCATACAGCGCCCCTACGATCCTTGTGTTTAGTTTAGTTTAGTTTTAGTAGAGGTTTTACGGTGCTTGCAACTGCATAAGGTCATATGAGCGCCAGAAGATTAGAGGTGTTACAAGAGAGTAACAAACATTTAAAAAAAGGAGGAGAGATAAGGACGATAGATGTCTGACAGGAAAGAAGAAGCAAACCACACCAGAGCACCCGCCAACCGCCCTCCGATCCTTGTGGATTATGGGATCAGGGAGAAGTGAGTGAAAACTATCTCTACTCTAAATGACATCAGAGTCCCACTTCTCCCTCCAAGACCTAACCTATGACAACACACACACTCTATGGAACACTACAGTAGCCACAGCCAAACCTGCACTTATCAATACATGACATTGGGCACAAGAGGGAGAGCCCAGCTTATTTTTGTTTGTTTGATACTTTGGATTTCTTTTTAGCATTGAAAAACAGTATCAGAAAGTCTCATCAGTTATTGAGTAAATGATCTCCTTCACTTTTCTATCCATCTATGCATCTATCAATCTGTTTATAATAATATAAATTGTCCTATCTATCGATCCATCTTTCTATCTCTCTACCGATTCATTCATTTATTTATCCATCCATCTAACGATCCATTCATCCATGCATCCACCTAACTGTCTGTCTGTCCATCCATCTATCTATATTTATCAGCGTGGTTTTATGCACCCCACATAATTTAACAAATTCGATAATTTTTTGCATAATTTCTGATTATTTTCCATTATAATTTTTCGTTAAAATAAACAGAATAGAATAATTTCACATTTTTGGGCTCATTTTGCATAATTTCAGAATTTTTCTTGCATAAAACGACGGGGACAGCTATATATCTATCTATCAATCCACAACTCTCAAATTGATGTCTGTTCTCTGTCTTGAGTCAGCCTGTTGACTCATGTCTCCGCTATTGCAGGATCAACAACAACAGAAAAATAGAATAGACAAAACATCCGACCCAATCCGTCAATTGTGCAGCGAGGGACCTCAAGATTTGGAGCACTGGCTGCAGAGATGCCCCGCCAC